AGTAATGGTTTATTATGTAAATTTACAAAACTTTATACAGACGACTTTTAGAATTAAAATACAATACTATACTTTACTACGACCACATAAATAATACAATCAATTGTTCGATACAGGATTTTAATCAATTACATATTTTTGATATTAGTCATTTTGTTGATCGAAAAGAATCATGTTTTCTGCATCTGTATTTTTTCATCAAGTGGTCCGTTTTTGCGCTGATGCTAATTTGGCATAAATTCCATTTAATCTCAAGAGTTCATCATGTGTGCCCTAATTAAAGAATTAAATAAATGTTTGTTTTTTTTACTAAAAAAAGTAAAAAAATTGTATTTACCTCTTCTTTCATTTTGCCTCGATCAACCACAGCAATCTTTTCTGAATTTTGAATTGTTGAAAGACGATGAGCAATACTCAGACATGTTCGACCAGTTCTAGCTTTATCTAATGCTGCTTGAACAACTTTTTCACTTTTATTATCTAATGCTGATGTTGCTTCATCAAGAAGAAGAATTTTTGGTGAACGAATTAATGCTCGAGCAATAGCAACTAAAATATTACATATTTATTTATTCAATATTACATCAACAAAATTTATTCACTTCGTTGTTTTTGTCCACCAGATAATTGACTACCTTTTGCTCCGCATGATGTTTCATAGCCCTACAATACCAAAATATGAGATCAAACATATACGAAAAGATAAACAAAGAAAGCCAACTTGAGGTAATGATTTAATTAACTCATGAATATTAGCCGTTCTTGCAACTCTTTCAATTTCATCTTGTGTTACTTCTCGACTACTATCACCATAAGCAATATTATCACGAATAGACAAATTAAATAGAACAGGTTCTTGTTGAACAAGACCCATTATTGATCGAAGCCATCGAATATTAAGAACTTGTATATCATGTCCATCGAGTAAAATTTTTCCTTTCAATGGATCATAGAATCGTTGCAATAATGCAATAGTTGTTGATTTTCCACTGCCTGACGGTCCAACAAGTGCTGTTGTACTACTACTTAAACATTTTAATGAAAAATTTCTAAGAATACGAAGAGTAGGTCGAGTTGGATATCGAAAATAAACATCATCAAATTCAATATTGCCTATGACTTCTTTCTAAACATAGAATAGAGACTGAATGTTGTGGAAATAGATTATTCAAATAAATATATATATATATATACCAAAATGATGCCTGATTCATCATATGGATTAATTTGTGATTGCCGTTTATTAAGTTTCATGATTCGTAATGCTGCTTGTTGTGCTTTCGAATAACCAGGAATCATAGCCATCGAACGACCAACGGTCATCATAGCAAAAGTAATAACAACAAATACCCTAATGAATAACTTGTGTATACCATTATATGAGTATCATAAAACAACCTTTACCTGAACACATTGTCAAATGTCATTTCATGATTATCAACAAGTTTACTACCATATGAAAAAGCAGCACTATGAAGAAAATACATGATTGAATTCGCAATTGCAGCACCTAAACCAACTAGATGCAGCTGACACTTTTGCTTCCTACATAGGAACACCGTTTATAGGATGGGTTAAATAGAAAAAAAAACATAATAAAGACGCATACTTGAATTCTTGATTGAATGCATTTTCATATAAATCAATAAAATGCTTTTCTTGATGAAGAGCAACAACTGTTCGAATTTGTTCTATAGCTTGTGTAGCATACTACACATAAAAAGATTATCAAATAAAAAAATGATAAAACCATCATATTATTTCTTTATACCTGTCCGCCTAGTTCAGTGAATGAGTCTTTGCTTTTTGATTTGCCAGTGTTACTTTGTTTTTTCCCTTGCATTTTTCCAGCAAACATCAGTAGAGGGACAAAGCAGAGCACAACAAATGTTAGTTTCCATCCAGCCATAAATGAAATAATGAGAGCCGTTATCACAGCGCCTAATGCTTGAACTATGATGCCAACACGAACGCCAGTCATACCCTTAAAAATGTCTTATCATGTATCGGAAAAATTCAAGCTTATAAACAAGGTCCCTAACTGATAGATTGTTTTTGAATTCCGACTATTTCTGTGGTGTAGATTCTAATCAGCTATAAATACTCTGAATAAAATACAAACCTTTAGTTTATTGTTGTGCAGATACTGCATGTTTATGGTTCTCTTTCAAGTGAATGCCATCTATAGTGCTCTCAAAGAAAGAGCATGAAAACTTATTTTCAAATTTCAACCTGAAACTTTTCATAAAGAAAAACTTGAACGAGCATAGTTTATTTTTTAAAGTTCTAGGCCTATTGATTTACTACCATCATAAAGTAAGGCCACCATATCTAGTGATTTTTACGAGCGTAATCTAGCTAAAGCTTGCCTTCATGGAAAGTTTCCAGTCGAAGTTGGAAAATTGTTTTTTTTCTGTTTATTCAAGAGATTCAATGCAAGGAGTTGAAAAAGCCCTATGAATGCCTAAAGTCCGAAGAAATAAGCTCTATGAGCTCGAAATTTTTTTAGACTTTTGATAGGTCATTAGGTTCTATATTATGAAAATCGTCCTAACTCAAAAACGAACAATCAATTGGTCAATTGTCCTTGTTAAATATGGTTACCTTCAAAGCAGCTGCATCAGATGATAGACGTGTGACAAGAGCACCAACTGAATTTGTCTCATAATCGAAATAACCGATTTCTTGTCGAATTATAGCAGAAAATGTTAATTTTCGCATACGTAAAGTTAATTCTTCGCCTGACTTTGCGAACCCAAGATTACTCAGAAATTGAGCAACTCCTCCAACAAAACCAATAAGAAATATAAGTCCAGCATAAACACTTGTTAAATGTTCTTGTTTCTTAAGATCTGGTTCGCCAAATAGACCATAGATTTGTGCAAAGAACAGTGCAAAAATGGGTTGAATAGCACCAAAGATAAGAGAGAAAACTGCACCCATAAGAATCCAAGGCCATTCTGGAGCATTAAGTTTGAATATTTGAAATACAAATGGAGTACGACTACGCTTCTTTTTTTTCTTTTGAGCATCGGATGCTGTTTTATCATCTTCTTTATCATTCTCATCAAAATCGTCATTTGAGGCAATAGATTGTTTTGAATGAATCTTATGAACTAAAGTCAATAGTATATTAAATGAATTTCAAAAAAATAACATTGTAGAAGGAGTACGAACATGATCGTTCTCGAACAAATTCTCTTTCCACTTCATCATCTTCTTTATCAATGTCTGGATCAACTTCTTTTTCTTTTTCTTTTTGCATTTGAGCTGTCACTAATTCATAGTAAAGACCTTTATATTCCATTAAATCATCGTAAGTTCCACTTTCGACGACACAGCCACGTTCCAAACCAATAATCAAATCAGCATTTCGTATTGTACTCAAACGATGAGCAATCACAATTGTTGTTCGACCCGCTTTTGCTTTATCCAACGCGTCCTGTACAATACGTTCACTTGTATTATCTATTTTTTGAAAAATTAATTTGTTTTTATTTTGACGAAAAACAGAAAAGAAAACAAAACAAACCGAGTGCACTTGTTGCTTCGTCTAAAAGAAGAATCTTTGGATTTGAAATCAATGCTCGAGCAATAGCCACTGAAATTATAATAACATTTTGAACTTATTAACAAATATTCATTAGTTTTACCTCGTTGTTTTTGACCACCACTTAGCTTATCGCCTGATGATGTCTTATAATTCTATATAAATATCATAAGAAATTTTTTAAATGAAATGATAATACTGAAAGCAAAAAGAGACATACTTCTGGAAGTGCCATAATAAACTCATGTGCATTAGCCATTTTAGCAGCTGCTTGAACTTCTTCATCAGTTGCATCTTGTTTTCCAAAACGAATATTTTCTTCAATTGATCCAGTAAAAAGAACAGGTTCTTGACTAACAATTCCAATATGTGAACGAAGCCAAGCAACATTTAATGTTTTAATATCTTTTCCATCAAGTAAAACTCGACCTTGATCTGGATCATAAAATCGTTGAATCAATTGAATTGTTGTACTTTCTAGTATTAAAATAAAATATTTTAATAATAATAAAATATTTAAAAAAAAACTAACTAACTTCCACATCCTGATGCTCCAACTAAAGCTACTGTTTTGCCCGATGGAATTTTCATATTTATATTTTTCAAAATCTAAAAATCATTAGTTCGTATGTGATAAAAAAAATAAGATAAAATTTGATTCTATCTAACCGGTACATCTTGCCGAGCAGGATATGTGAATGTAAGATTTTGAAGTTCAATATCACCAACAATGCTCGTTGGTATTTCACCTTCGTTCTTAAATGCATCAATTTTGGATATCTAATAAAAGAATAAAAACTCATCAAACTAAAGAAAATGTAATAAAGAATTACTCGTGATATAATATCAAATACATAACCACCACTACCAGATGCTTCAGCAAATGCTTGAATATTTGGTACTATTTGGGAAATACTAAAGGTTGATTGTAAACATGAGACAAAAATCTAAGAATTATCTAATAAATATTTTTTTTTCTTCTTTCACAGTTTTCTATACATACAACGATCACAGCTCCAGCATCATAATTTTGACATTCATTTCGTACAAGATATGGTCCATCTAAATTGAAATATTTGAATTATTAAAATAACTTATATTATTAGCTAACAGTAACCCAAAATCCGAGCTTTGAAGCTGAAACTTTATTATGAATAGAGCTTAAACGGTTCTGATCCTAAATATCAATTCGTACTCAATTGAATGACAAATAATGGAGTTATGAGTCAAACACTAATTTTTACCTATGGATACCTGAATCTTTACAATTCGAGTATCTTCATTTTGCAGAATAACCCCATTCCTTAGCTAGACATCTAGTCTTTCTATTGTAAAAACTATTGTGCAAAAACAACATTGCGTTGTTGGGTACTATGGTTGTATTTAAGAATTGTTTGCTACAGATATATTGGCGTCTAAAGATAAATTCGCTATAACTCAGTTAGGTTTCAACCGCTTTGTCAGAAGAATCGTTAATAGTTGAGAAAGGTTTACTAGAAATTAGAGAATGATAAGTATTGTTAAATAGATATTATCAAAGAAGAATGGTGTCGATAATGCAAGGCTCATTACTAGAGCTAGTTGGATCCAAAATCTTCGAACCCATTTAAACCCGTATTTTGAAACTTTCTAATCAGAACTGGACAGTCGCTCCGAAGATATGAGATACTTTTTTCGGTTTTTTGTATGCCGTGACTTGTGCACCCTACATATTTTCAGACGAACCCTCTGCAAAATCTGTTGAGTGGGGACCATCGGATCAAAAGTTTTGGGACCCAGATCGAATTGAATTCAAGTTCGGCATCAACCCACTGGGCTCTAACCATTACATGTCGCAGTCTTAATCCGAAACAAATATTTATGTCAAAAAAACGAAAGAAAAGTTTTAATTGTTTCGTCCATTTAAAGCTAAGATTCGATTTTTAAGCAAAACTCTATTATTTGTTATCCTAATGAGTGCGGGTTGATATCTAGAATTAGGACCAACTGAGCTTGTTTTATGACAAAATTTTCAGTTCGAACGCCCAAGTTTTAGGTTACTTTTACTTGATATCACTATTTTTTGCTCAATAGTGTATTTATATACTTACACCAAAATGTAATTGCAAAAGATATATAAATTGCTACTTGAGCAGCTGCTTGACATAAACCCATATAAAGACCTTTTTTTATACCAATTTGCTTTGCTTCAAGTAAATTCTCTGAAAATCTAAATCAATATCAAATTTCGAAAAAATGTTTTTCAAATTTTATTTAAACCTTTGTTCTTCTTTTTTTTGTCCGCCAAATGCTGTTACAGTTCTTATTGAACCAAGAACTTCTTGTGCCACAGCACTTGCTTTTGAAAATGCTTTTATTTCTTTTGCTGTATATTTTGCAATGACCTATATAGAGAAAACCATGTTTTAATTTTTTATTTGTTTTTTTTTTCAATCTATATTTATCAACGAACTCGCATAGTTATGTTGAATGCAATAACGGTCAATGGACTAAGTGATATAAATACTAATGCCAATTTCCATCCTTTAACATAATTAATAAATATAGATACATATATAACTTCTTTTATATCTACCTGTAACAAAAGCAAATACAAGACCACCGATTAATCGACAGATTAAACTAATGAATTCAGCTTTTTTATCTCCTAAACCATCACGAAGTTTATCTATAGAAGAAATTAATGAATAATAAATAAAAAAGAAATCGAAATGATTCTTTATTACCCAAATCTGATACTAAGCGATTACTTAATTCACCAGGATTAAGTTTATCAAACCAACCCATTTCTTGATTCATAATTGAACGAAATAATGCAAATCTTATTCGTCGAACTTGACGTTCAGCCGCAATCATCTATATTCAATAGATTTATTTATTTTGCATATCATACTTCCTTCTCATACCCATAATGAAAAACCAATCCAATAACAAAGAATACTGGCACAACCTAGTATACCATACCATTTAATCATGCCACGAAGCTCGGATAAAACATCTGCAGTTGAATTTTCTGGTTTAACAGCACTAATTAATAGAAATAAAATATTCAATTGAATAAAAACCAAAAAATAATTTTAAAAAATCGAACCATGTTGCATTTATATCAATAATTGATGTCAAATTTGGTAGAACTGAAGGAATACTAGCTTTCACCAATGATGTTGCCACATCTTTAATTGTATTTAATAGAAGATAAAGTTTATTTGTAAAAAAAACAAAACATACTTCGATACACTAACATCATTAATGGAAACACAGCGCTAAAAATAGAAAAATTGTACTATTTGAACTTTGACCGTTTTTCTGTCTTTCTGTTTACAAGATGTTGCATTGCGTAGTAGATGAGTCAAGAAAGGGCGATCTACTTTTTTCAAAACTGTTTTTTTTTAATATTTTTCTCAGCATAAAATGCTCGAAAATCAGCTACTAATTCCCATAATGAATTTCAAAAAATATTTTTTGATAGTAGTAATCATTCCCATTTACTGCTGAAACATTCTCATCTAGTCAAATTTTAAATGCGTCATTGATTGACTTATATGCTACAACAATATCTTTTGTCATCATAAATTAATAAAATACTTACCCAGTACCCATACAAGCTATAGTACCAATAAACATAATAAGAACATCAAGTTTATCAGCAAATTTATACTAAAAACAAAAAAAAGAATACGAGTTCCAAAATCAATAGTAATACTCGAATATTAACTTACAATTTCGAATAGTTTTAATCTTCGAGCTGGAGATTGCTTTTTAGCATCTTTCTTTTGAGATCCTCTATAGAAAAAAATTTTTACAAATAATTATTAAATTTCTTCAAAGAAAAATCTTACAAAAACTGATCTTCTTCTGTTTTACCGTCAGTTTCGTGTTCGAGAAAACTGACAACATTATTTTCCAAATTTCCGTCGATTTCATTAAAATTATTTTCATCGAATAAATTTTTTTTTAATTCAGTATCTTCATTACTAATCGTTTGTACAGACCTAGAAACCCATAGACTTCTCACGTGTATAATTAACGACACCAATGTCAATGTATAAAAAAAAAGACCTTTTTTTATTTGCGTTTGATTTTCTTAATTTTCTCATTGCATTAAATTCAGATCACAACTCGAAGAGTTTCTTATTCTATCTCATTATTATATTGACAAGTGCCAGCTGATGACTGTTTTTTTCGCACTGAAAAGTCATTGGTTACAATCGATAAACACGTGAGAAGAGGGTTTTCCTATATATATCATATTTCGTTCTACTACAAAATGATTAAGAATATAAGGATTAATATTTTTTTAGATCGGTCAAAGACAGTATAAATTTTCATTTAGTAACAATAGTAAAAAACCTATCTGTTTCTTAATTCATCAAAAGATGACGCTGTTGACTAATCAGATACTTACTGAAATTTGTCGTTGTTTGATGGTATTTCTGATTTTGATAAGCCGTTTTCTGTCTTGAAGTAAGAAATTTTCTGATCTGTATTATTAATACTATTATGATTGATAGTCCAACCTTCTTTTCTCTTTTTAAAAATAAATGACATATTTAATTCATAGGGTAACTTGTTTTAAAGATGCATCTATCAGCCTGTTAAAAATATGTATGATGATTTTAAGTGAAAAACTTGTTTTCAATGCTTACCTGTAAAACAAAGAATAAAAACGAAAAAGAGATTTAAGTGCTTTGTATTCTGATTCTTTCGAGCTGATAAGACATATAATAGAGACTCATAAAAATGAAACCATCATAATTTTTTTAGATACGAAAAAATGTATATCAGTATTCGAAAGGTACGTTTTCGGACGAGATACGCACTATGATGACTTAAGTTTCTATTCGCAAACACCAAAACAATGCGCATAAGGACAAAAAAAATGTAATAATAAGAACTGACAATAACCTTATGACACGATATTAAACAGTTATTTATCCTTGACATTCGAATTATAAGAATTTTTCATAATTTTATTTGAAACTTTTCCATATGAAAACATCACATATTATGGATGTATCTTATTTGAATAATGTTGAATTAGCTGTCTCACAGTAACTACAGCATTAGAATCAACAGGTTTAAATATTCTCACTATTAGAATCGTTTCTCTAAAAATATGACAGAATAATATATCAAATAAAAAATGGATTGTCTATTACACACTATTATGAAAACAAAAAATAAACTTAAAAAAACGAAAACTCTCTGTTTCTGTGTTTTATTTTTAAGCATGGATGTGTTTCTGTTTTTAATGAATACGGCTAGACATCATACCTAGGTCAAATTAAAACTTGTACCGACAATCTTACAAATTTATCAGATAAAATGCCCCTACCAATACATCTGAATGTCAAGATATCTACAGTGTATGTAAAATACTAGTGATTCAATATTTCAGCTGAGGTTTTTCGTAATGATTGGAGTGAGTCTATCGAGTTGCATAAGAACAAGTATGCTTCAAATCCTAAAACAATTGCCTGTAAAAGTCACAATCTTAAGTCTATTTTCTATTACCTCGGTCGAACAAGCATTCTGGTAAACGACTGTAAGTCCTAGTTTTTGTGCGTATTACATGACTCCATATTCTATACACAGAAATACGATCATTTACAGAGTCCGTATATGAAGATCGTATTCGATCTCATTTTTACTACAGATTTTACCGTAAACGGCTCTATTGCTCCAAATACAATGCGAAGAAATATGATGCTAAACGAATTGTACACAGATTTTGTATACTTTGTTTTGAGTATATTTCAAAATCAAGGTGTCTTGAAAGTTTTGCGCGAAATATTTCTTTTTCTTTGAGCCATAGTTTTGCCGACACAACAGAATGAGTTCTATCTAGTCATCACAAAAATAAATTCTACTGAAATTTTGATTTCTGAGCATCTTACATGTACTGTAAATATCTTAACATTCGAATATTTCAATCAATACACGCTAGGCGTTGTCTATCAGAAATGTGCGGAGCGGCTGAAAAATCGTTTTGTCACCGCCTTGCCAATGACCTATTTACGCGTGAGTAAAGTGTGAATCTTGTTACAGGTCATCTCAGAAGAACTTGACGAACTATGATGACCATCTTGAACAATTGAACAAATAGCTTGTATTGTATCCATGATATCACGTGAAGGAATGTCCGGACTTAGTGCATACATGTTACCTATCTATAATGAATTTTAAACCGTAAATTACTTAAATGACTTGCAGAGCAAGACCTGTATGTACTACCAATTATAGAAATGAAAATAGAAGACTAAACCAAACACATATATATATAAATATATATGTATCCAGGTATCCTTGTCTTTAATCACAATGATCATACTAAAAAAAAATCTAAAATAAATTGATAAATGTCATTAGAGTATTGATATTTATTTGACCAAAACCGTATCTTAAAAAGTCGGAACGAACCACCACATCTCACATTGTTTCATATTCGCCTCGCCCCATGGCAAGGCAGTGTAACTCGGTGGTTTGTGGATCTCTATTGATTATATTTTGAGTTTGCTAGTTTAGCAATGAACGCTTTAATTGGATCTGAATATGTCTAGCCTGATTCACTAACAACACAAAGTATTTCCATTTTAAGTTTTAGGAGATTCTAATATGAAAAAGAAAATATGTTAAGCTTTAGTTTTCTCTATATACTAAAAACTGTTATGTTCTTTCCATGAACTTTTTCAAGAAAAAAATGTCTCCTATTAGCTAAAAACAAAATTCATATCAATTAAACATAGTAAAAAAACAATCAAGGATCAGATAACAAGGGGAAAAGTAACAATTTTTGTTTTATAAATAAAGTTTTTTTCTCTTCAAATACACGAATCATTTTGTTTGTAATGATTGTTGTTCTTTATCTAATCTCTGCAATTGATCTAGCTAAGTTTCTGTTGTTATCAGATTTCGCTCCCAGGAGCGATTGAGTTGCTATAAGTTTGAGATGTATTGTTGGAGTGCCTATAAAAAAAATATTAAAGTTAATTATAAAATTTCAGACAATTACAGTAAGAAATGATAGAATAATAAGTTTCTTTTCGATATCAAGTCGATTCCAATCAATTAATCATCAATATCAATATAAAAAAACCATCCAAGAGAGTTCGTACAATTATATCGTTTACAAAACTTTTCTTTTTATAACTCTATGTTACCCAGGCGGATCAAAACGGGATATGGTTACGATCCGCTTTTCGTCAGTAAACGATCAAAAAACTACTACTTTACTAGCGTTTATTGTCCGTATTGTTTCGTAATATTAAACCATTTTGGGTTCACGGGCATTGAAAACGATGGAAGCGTTTCCAAGAAATCAAGCATGATTTCCGAACATATCTGAAAAACCCTGTAGGATTTTCAAATCATTACAAAACTCCTGTTTTTACGAGAAAAAGTGTCAGAAACCTATCTAGTATTCTGAAACACCGAAATAATATTCGGATATCTTCTTTTTAATTCTCATGTTCACATCTTTATTTTAGAGATTTAGAAATTTCTCGACATGCATAGTACAAACCTCATTCAATTTCTGCGAAATAGTTGTGTAAAATCATTAGAACCTGAGAATTCAAAAGACTACTTTGTTTCCGAGAAAATTTCGGCTCGTTTTTACTTCTTTCACTACCTAAAAACGTGACTGAATTATGAAAAGTTTTGCTGAGAAGATCGAAGAGCTGCACTAAATCGTCAGGTCATTAAAAAAATTTCGTCTTTCTGCTTCTTCATTCACATATGTTTCATTTAAGTACAAGCATTATCATCCTTATGAACGGATTGAAACGAAATATAGTGCAAGTTTCAACCGTCTGATGATCGTTTCAACCGACTTATACGGAAGAGTGATTGGATAGGAATGATGGAAAATATGAAGAAATCTGCATTTGCAAGAGAGTGTAAAACAAATATCTAGTGTCTCGGAATGTTTGCAACATCATTTGTTCTCCATATATCTTCACAAACGTAAATGATAAAATCAAAAATTTTTCAAATCATGGGACCTGATATTTTACACAATAGTCAAAAGAAAGATTCTCTTGAGTTGTGCTAGTAGATTTGAAGAAAGCTAAAAGCAAATATGTATTAGATGTTGTAGTTTCTTACTTTGATATCGATGGAAACATTTTAACAAACATATTTACTATCCAAAATCAAATTAAATGTACAAAAACACATTTCTGAATACCATCATCTAAATGAATTAAGTATCTTGATGTTCGAAAGTAGTCAGAAAGAATGAAATATCTGAAAAATTTAACTCTTGTTTAGCTGAGGAAAAAAATTCTGAGCAGTGAGAAATCATAGAATCTTATACACACCTTTCCTTTTAGCTCTTTCCAAATCTATTAACACAAGTCATAAGAATTCCTGCCTGCATCTATTGTAGAGATAGTCATGACGTATCGTTTCAAAAATAAATTGACATTTTCATGAATCGTCTTTTTGAATGCATAAACAAAGTAAAATATCTTGGAAACATTCTGAAAAATGGTAGATATTTATTTCTTCGTACTGCAGGCTATAGTTTTCCTCAACTGATTCGGTAAGAGATTCGAAAAAAGAACAGGAACACGAAAACTATACTTCAACGATAACGAAACTAAAGACATGAAGACTCTAAATGGCATCAACACTCCACTTTCGACAGTGATACGGACACGAGAAGTCGCGCTGCCTTAAAAACTTTCACTTCAATGCACAAAAAGCTTTCATTACTGTAGAATTCCACTTTACTTCATGACTCTGAGTTCGATAGGATTTACGACCTAATGACAGTCATTGACTTCATGACCATGGCTTTGACAGATATGAACATTAAAAAACTTTAAATGACTTCATGTTGGTAGCTTTGAGAGTTGTTCAGACTTCAAGACACAAGATTGACTTTACAAGTCTTGCTCAAAAAAACACATGAAGACTCAATGACTAAGACTGATTTTCATGATTATGAGTTTGAAATACAGGAAAACAACAGAACTAAGACTAACTATTTCACTCAATCTTTCCGAGGGAGACATGAAGACTATAGCGATAAGATTGACAGCACGACGCCGGCTTTGCCAAACATGAACACTGCAGAACTCAGACGAAATTAATAACGCTCTATTCAGGAGACTTCCAACTTCTCTCATTTTCACTGATTTCATGACCGTGAATTTGTAAAATAGGCAAACGAACGGTCTGTTCATCTATAGAAAAGAACAAGAAAATTTTCTTTTTCCAAAACTAATCTTATTCAATCTCTTTTTGATAGATAATAATCATTATATTTATGCACTAATTGTAAGTATATAGAATCGGAAAAAAACAAAATAACATGGGTAGAATATTTTCACTGAATAAACATCAAGAAGAATTCAAATTGTTACTAGTAGACCTAGGACAGTTTCATATCAGTTCCGCTCTTGAGAACTGTTCAAACAGTTCTTTGATAGGAACTGATCTGTTCAACCAGTTCTTTGAAAATGGTTACAATAGTCAGTTTTTGAAAAAGAATCGGACGCTTAATCCAGTTCTTTGAAAAATAACTGGTTACAATAGCCAGTTCTCGAAAAAGAACTGCCGGATGTGTACAGTTCTTAAAAAAGAACTGCCGGGTGTACACAGTTCTCGTCAAAGAACTGGTCACTTTAACCAGTTCTCGAAAAAGAACTGGTCGCTATACCCAGTTCTTAGAAAATATACAGTTCATAGAACTGGGAACTGTGCTAGGTCTAGTTATTAGCAAAGAGAAGAGCAATGCAATATGCTCCACAGAAAATAAACAAATTTCATGTGTTATGATATGCCATCTATACCATTATATATGGTCATTCATTCATTCTGTTGTTTTTATCTTTTTATCTTTTTATCTTTTTCTTTTGACATTATAAATATATGCCCTCTGATATACTTTGATCGATCGACTGACTGATGAAATGAATGCGCTTATCTTTCACTGGTTATTTCTAAATGCACTGTGTAAATATTTTTTTTTAGAAATGAGCCAGATCCCAGGTCGAAATAGCTATGTCGGATCCTGTCGGATAGGTTTCAAATCGGTTGAGATACGGCTAATCGGATTCGGTCGGTTACTTTTTGTCGCATTCCGATGCTATCCACTGTTTTCCTTTGATATCCGCCGGTCGGATTCATCGAGCTCCGACTAGATTCATATATTCGGAACTGGTCAGATCCGACCTCAAGATCTGTTCGCTTCCGATGGGATTCCGGGGAATCTGATGTCAAGAAATCGCCGGATTTTGCGGTTTCAAGTGACACCGGATTCCATGATAAAACCGATCAATCACTGGTATTGGAACTTGTCGGATTATATAAGAATGCAGAATACCCAGGCCGATCTCACACCATCGGATCCGATGGAAATTAGTCGGAAGTTGTCGGAAGTTGGAAAGTGTCGGATTTTCAGAGTTCCGACAAGATCCCGGCCACTTCCGACACTTTTCGACATCCGACAACTTCCTGTCGGAATCCGATATCAAGGATTCCGACGAATTGCCATCGGATTCGATAGAATTCGATAATTTTT